CCAAACTACCACCTGAGCTGGCCTCCTTCTCGCCCGCCGGGTCGTCGTATTCCTCGCAGTCGTAGAAGGCGCAATCTGCGTCGTCACCGAAGTCGACCTGCTCGCCATGCCCATCTGCTGGAGCTGGGGTCGTCGAGTAGATGGGCCAGGGATCCAGGCGCTGGTTCCTTGGGCGGCGCGGCCCCGCGAGCAGGGGGGGGCCCGGCCACCGTGGCGAAGACGCAGGCTGTAGACGGCGATGCATCATGACATGCTTACACGCCCACTGCGCGATGAGTATAGTAAAAGAAATCGCACGTCGAAAAAGCTGAGGGTCGCCCTGAAGAAAAATGCTCGCCGGCAAAGTGCCGGCGAACATCGCGCAAGTTGCAGCTTCGCGGCAACGGGAGGTGCGACCAGTCCATCTCGTGGCCAAGGTACGGTCACATGAGGAGCCACACAGAGCACCCTGAATGAACTCGGTAGTGCCATCTGAGTCGGCAACCTCTGTCGCCCGCTCGTCGGTCAAATCGCCTGCAGAAGGTGAGCAGACGGAGTCGGCAGGGGCAACAGCCTGCCGCGGGGCTCGCGATGCGCTCGGACCTGCGCCCTGCGACCGTTGAAGATATCTTTCGCCAGCGAATCCATCGGACGTAGGTCTTCTCCGCGATCGCCTCGAAAACGCCCCCGTCCACGATGTCCTCGCGCGTCTCGCGTTCCGCCGCGGGCGTTGCCAAGCGCGCGATGCCCTGATGCGTCGCTGGCCCACCTGACTCGCGTCCTCATCAGCCACTCGCACTACTGGAAGTCCCTCTCGTAGATCTCCTTGGAGCCGTAGCCCGCGCGCGCCCCGAGCGCCGCCCGCGGCCTGGCCTGCCCGCGCCGATGCTGCCCTCGACAGGGGGCCTCGTGCAGCGCATCTGGCAATCGTCGCGTGTCCAGAGGGCCTCGTTGTTGCCCCGATGGCGCGCGGCCCTCTCGGAGCGCGCGCGCGGCCTGATCGGTCTTCGCGGCGAACGCGCCGTCGCGCTCCAACCCGTTGCCCGCCGCGAGCCGCTCCCCGCCGTGGATCTCGAGGATTCGAGCGAGGTCTCGGGTCGCGGGGGCGAGGCGTGGGCGGCGCAGCTCGGTTGTCCAAGCCCGCGGCGCCCCCGGGCAAATCCTCGCCGGCGTTCGCGCCAATGCGCGCCTCCGCGCGGCGCGCCATACCTGCGCGGCCCAGAATATTGAGAATGGCTTCAAGCGCAGTTGCTTCGACGTCCACGCCCGCCCCCGTGGGGTCATCAACGACAGGCTGGGCCCGACGGCGCTCGAAGGTTCCGGCCGCGCGCCCCCCCCCCCAAGCGAGGACGCGCTCCGCGCGATTCAACGTCTCGCGAGTTGCCTGCCAGGGGAGGCGGCAGTCAGCAGAGAGAGACAGGTTTGAGTCGAGGGTGCTGGCGGATTCGCATCGAATACGGCGCCCTCGGGCTCGGCGACCCTGCAATGCCCTTTCGTCTTCGGAGATACTTTTCGGATTTTCTGTTCTCTGCCGACAATCATCGGGAACGCAGAAGATCTGGATCACAACGTGTCCGCCTGCTCCTGGCTCGCGCACCCTCGACTGACTGCCGTCGAGTGCCTTCCAACAGATAACGCCACCTGGCAGGTCAAGAACCGTGCAGAGCTGCCTGCACATCTCCACTGGAAGCAGCGAGGGCACGTCGCAGGGAAACTGATGCACCGCGAGAAGCCGAATTTCTTCGCCACGGCGACAGGCGAGGTCCAGCCGGGGACAAACCTGGTAGATCCCCCGACGCCCATGGCGTCCATTGCAAGTGTGGGTAGCTGGGTATATGTGCCGAGATATCTCGCAATTTTCTCAAACTGATCTTTGCCGCGGGCTCAGCGCTGAGCACCAGCGCCCAATGAACCGAAACGCATCTGGACCTGAAGTCCCATGTAAATCCACTCACCAGTAACAGCAGTAGCAAAGAAAAGAAAGCCAACATGACTAACTCCAAATTGGGTCGTAAGTTCCTTTTGGTAGGCGTCATGCAGGGCGTCATCAGCTTCAAGAGGAACTACCTGGAAACCGCCGAAGCCTGCCTGCCGCTTGCGTCCTCGCTCGTCTGGTTCGTTCGTGCAGTCCCGAGCCTAGCGCCCCATCTTCACGCGTCGGCTCATCAATGTACTCTTGGCCCAACACTTCGGTCGAGCATGTCCAGTTCGCGCCCCTCGACGCTCTCTCTTGCGGGAGCCTTTGGAATGACCTAGATGAGACTGTTTGCCTCGTCCAAGCTCCCGCTTGCGTAGGCAGTGTCGTGCCTGACTGAAATGGCGTAGATGGCGACAGCCTCATCTTCGTCCAAAATCACGCCCTCGGGCCTGTCTCCAGCTACGTAGAGTGCGCCTTCGTCACCCATGTGCCTGAGACCCTCGGTCAGGACGTCGTATTCCTCGTAGGACTCGGGCAAGGTAAACAGAAACTGTTCCATGAAAACCCAACGGATGTCATCGTGGTCAGACTCCTGGTCGCCGCATCCGTTTTCGTCTCTTTGGCAGCCGGCAAGTGGCGAGGCGGAGCTCATCCGGCGAGTCCGATGGCCGCCCCTACCTGAAGGCAGTGGCCGCTCAAGCTTCCGAAGCATCTCACCCACCATGTCAAAAGCATATGATCCCTCAGTCCAGCGCTCATCAGTACCCACAGCGGCTTCACTGACCTTGGATTCTCTGAGAACCATGTATCCTTTCAGTTCCCCTGGTAAGATCACGTGCTTCTCAAGCTCTCGGAAGAGCACTCCCGTGCGAGCGATCTAGTTGACCAGGGATTCGTCTCGTTTACACTTGACGTCGTCAGAATAGAAAAGCTGTTAAAACTTTCGGCGACCTGCGGTCTCGGCGAACACCTTCTTGACATGTTTGGCCACAACCTGCCCGCTGTCCTCAGAAGACAGCTGGCCTTCGTTGAGTTCGTTGCTAATGAGATTGAGGTCGTCTCCGGCGTAGCGGTAGATGAGGTATCAGTGTTGTCGCTTCAGGGCTCTGGTAGTCGTGAGCCACATCTGAAACCACGCCATGTAAAGGTCTAACCGAATACCATGACAGTTTCGATCCCAAGTGGGAGGTAGTTCGTTTGGTATTTTGGGGGCCTCCAATTGTTCAGGAAATGGCCCCCTCCCTGGCGACCATTCGATCAGGCAATGGTACATCCACAATAAGCCGAAGCGGCCCGAGCGAAAACCGCAGCCTGTCCCCACAGGGGCGCGCCCAACCGAGCAGGTGCAGTCGGCGAACCACGGCCCCGCGCGTTCCAACTTGATGACGATGACTGCGTATTGGGCTGTTTCTCCGTCCAGGGCTGCGAAAACCAACGGCCCCAGCCTTGATCTGCCCAGCCCACTTCGTCATCACCGTCTCAAGGAGCGTCTTCTCGTTCCCCGCCTCCTGCCCAAGGACCCTGTCCTGGTTGTAGCCAACGATCAACTTGAAACTCATTCTCGCGAGGCTGAGCGTCGTCTGAAAAATCCATGGCGACGATCGGCGCACGAGGGTGGGAAGCGGGAAAAACGGGATAATAAACAAAAATGTGTGACAAGGGGGTCGGCCTGATCCCCCTCGTGGATCGCAACCACGGGCTCCGCTGCCACTGTGGAATGTACGGGGGTAGCGGGGGTAACAGTGTGGAAGACAAAGGGACACAAAGTAAAAGTAAACGGCCTGTGCTAGAAGAGAGGACATTCTCTTTCCTTGTACGGGGGCCAGGGCGTGCCCCCCGTCGCCTGCGCGCCAGGTGACTCAAGGGCCCTTCTGAACCACAACGGCGGCACACAAGGAAGGTGGGACGGAGGCGCAAGAGGAGGATAGGCTGACATGGGCATGACAACCACAGGCCCCCTTCCCCACGGCGAAAGCCCTTCCCCACGGGACCCTTCACGGCAAGCTCGTGTCGTGTCGACTTCTGCGTTGGCTTCTGACGCCGCGTGGATATCCAACCTCCAACGATCGGCGGTGTTTCGATCACCGCTCAACCTTACACGTCCATGGGGGGGTCGCCGCCGCGGAGACACGACCCAAACCTGCCCATCCTGCGGCGGCTGGATTTTTTTCTCGAGAACTGGGACCAACACCTCTCGACCGATTGCCGGGGCCGGATTTTCATCCCAGGCGCCCAGATTCTTAACGGCCCCGGGGGCCTGGAACCAGCACGCATGGGGCCGAAAATAATAACAATACAATAACAACGTACTGCCTCGATTGCCTAGGCTGCCGCTGGATGCCTAGGGCCTGGGATGCCGACCCCCAAAGAAAGAACTACATAAACATAAACTGTCGGCGCTCCGCGAGGATGTCTTGGATCGGCTATGAACTCGAACCCCCCTCCCTGGCAAGCGGCGCGCGCCAGGGACGGCGCCGAAGGCGCCGCTAGGGAAGAGCTCCAGCGCCGATCCACGAACTCCGCGCGGAGCGCCGAAAGCTTTGCATAACTTGTTGGGCTCCCAGAAGGATGCCTGGGATGCCGATCCTCCTCCCTTCTGCCGACCAGGTGGGGGACCGGCTCAAGGGAGCATCGACCTGGAATCGACGATACATCGCCGCTACATCTCCTCCTCCTCCTCCTCCTCCTCCTCCTCCCCGCGACTTATCCTGCCCCTGCCTCCTCGTCCTCCTCCCTCCTGCCTACCCCCTGGCCCTCTCCTCTTACCTGGAATTGACGATGCATCCCCAATTGAGAGTCCGCACCTTTCTGAGCGGGGGTGGCTCTTTGGGACCCTTATCGGCGATCAGTAGGCGATTGGGGGTGATGCATCCCCCCTGACCCTAATTACTCCCTGGTGGTTTTCGCGGCGTTCCTCGAGAATCCAACGGTCGTGCGGGACGATTCAGGCAACCGCTCTCGGCGAAGCGTAACTGCTGGAGCGCACCCCGAGGCTCGGAAACCACCGAAAACATACGAAAGCACCCGAACACCTCGAACCCCAAACCACGACGAACCTGCCCCCCCTAACGTTGCCACTCACTGCCGCCCCAAGTGGCCCCTCCACGAGGCAGGTGCCAGTGTGGATGCCGCACCGGATGCCCACCTCCGGCAGCGGGGGGCTCTGCTTGACGGACCTCGCGTCGGCGAGGGGCGGCGCGGGGCAGAGGCCGCCCCCATCGAAGCCCGCGGGCGATCTGCCGCACACTGGCCGCCCAATGGGCTGGGCGTTTCCCATACGGTTGATGGACAACATCCTGAAACGCTCGCGCGACCAGCGAGTCGGCGCGAACTTCAACGCGACCCCCTGCCCGCGATTCAATGTCGGTTAGCATCGCCAGCGGGGTGCAGGAGTTCGGCCAGCCGTCAGATCGACACATCGGGCAGCGGACCGCCAATATCAGATTGGGGGCGCAAAGGGTCTTGACAGAAATGCAAAAATTCACAAGATGTTGCCCATAAACCGGACCTCCATCACCTCCAAGACGTACTCCGTGACATGCTCATCTCGCCGTTGCAGGGAGCTCGTCGCAAAGAAACCCATTGGTGAGCATCGCTGTGTTATAGAGGAAGAAAAACCAACGTATTGAGCTTCAGATCAGCCCCAAATTCGTCGTTTTCGCCGCGTGGGGCCCTCGCCGAGCCCCGGCACCGTCAACAAAACCATCCTGGGTGCGGACGACTGATCCCCGGGAAGTGGTCCAGAGCTCCGGATGCCCCGTGTCGAAAAGCATCGAAACATCGGAGGTCTGGGTCTGCGCGCGGCACGAGCCAAAAACCAGCACTTCGATCTACGCGGCAACGCATGTCTGGCGCTGGTGGCCGCGCGCGTGGTGACCACTTGTTGATCCTGTCCAGCTGGGCCAGCATCCCAACCGCCGCCTTGACCGCGTTCGTGGGGTGGTCCCCCTTGTCCGGAAGCGGGGCGCCTCCCGCTTGTGGGGCAAGAGACGCATTGAAGGCACCACTGCTCCTCCTCCAGTCCCAAAAACATGTTTCATTCTGCTCTCTTTCCTCTTCCTCTTCCTCCTCCCCATCCTCCCCGATCCTGGACTCCTTCTGCTGCTGCTGCTCCTCCTCCTCCTCCTCCTCACCCAGCTTCTCTTCTTCGTTACTTCTCATGGCCACCATCCTCGTCTCCCAGCGAAAGCGGGATGAATAGGTATGTGTTCTGGCCCCCGACGGCCATGCCAACACCGACATGGCAGTGTTTGGATTTGCGGTCCGCCCTTTTCGCGTCGATTTCCCTCCCCCCCTTCGTTGTGACCTGTCCTCTCCAACGGCCTCTCTCGGTCCCTTCGCCTGCTCTTTGACAGTTACACAACGTGAAAACTATTCTCCTCTCTTCCCCAGAGACGTCCTGAGAATGGTGCGACCCCTCCGCGTATTTTTCTTTCACGCAGGATTGGTAAGACTAGTTGATTTTGGCATTTGCATCTCCAATCTGAACTTTCTCGGACCCTTAGAAAATGGTGTCCCCGCTTCAGCGCGAGCCTCATTTCAGGGTCTGCGCTCCGCCCCTGCCGTTCAGTCAGGCGCTCTCGCTTCAGCTTCTTGAGGCCCTCTTGACCCGTGTTCGGGCCCTCTTGGGCCGTCGTGGGACCTTCTCGGTGGCCTGACGGGCCGTTTTAAGGCGGTCTTGGGAGCCTCTGGGGCCGTCGTGGAGCGTCGGAGGCCTGAAAAGGCGAGAAAGCCAATCATCTTCGAAACCAAAACACATCTAAATACAAGAATTTGGCCTCGTGGGGCCCTCGTGGGAGGTGTCGTCACCACCTTTCTTCCCCCTCCCCCGCTTTTCCCTGGTCCTCCTGCTTTTCCCCATCTCCTGCTGCTCCGGCCCCTGCCGCTGGAATTCCTCCTCGTCCTCCTCCTTCTTCATATGCTCACCCGCCACCTCTTCCTCCTGAGTACACAGCCACACCCCCTTTCGTCAGATTGCGCGTAACACAACGGGTCTTTCTTAGTGTTCCAAGTACTCCATGGCACCCGTTGGCGACAAAAGGGATGGCTGGGACGGGTAGGATGTCAGATGTGGCGCGAGCGCAATCCAGCTTGCCCCTTCCCAGTTACATCCCACCTGCAATAGAAGGATCACCCCCGCACGCCAGGGTCCTTCGCAAATCCCACCGATCATCTGATGCGATCGGGCGGCAGGCCACCGCGTGGTGGGCGTCACTGGTGGACCCACCCAAGCGCACTAGCGCGGGGGAAAAAACCGTGACAGTCGGTCGCCCCCCCCCTCAGGGTGTAATGGGGGTGGGGCAGGCGCGGGCGGGTTACCCGCTCCCCGCGCCCTCGCGCTCCTCCGGGGATAAGATGACCAACTCGTTGGCTGGTCACCTGATTCGATCTCGATCTCGATCTTTCAACAGGCCACAGCGAAAACAACCCGATTCCATAAATATGCTATCTACCCCACGGGCCATTCAGAAAACCTTGTTGGCTTCAAACCTTGCAAACGGTGCTTCGATCCTTTGATCCCCGTGCTTGTGGGGGGTCTGGCACTGTCCCCTGAGCGTCCTCCTGGCTCCTGAGGAGGCCCAGCCATTGCGCTTCGGACAAAAGACCTTCCCCGAACTACACATATGTGAGGGTGCTGGGAGAGGTGCGCATCAACCACTGTTTTCTTTGGCAGACAACTCTTGTTTCCCGCCCTGGCTAAGGCCAATCAGAGTACAGGGCACACCGACTACAGCTAGATGAAGCACGTTTTATGATTGCAGCATATCATCTTCGCGAAGCCGTCGGACCCGAGCACTCTCGGGGGCCTTCAAAAAAAATCAAGTTGGGGCCATATGCCCACGCTAAGTCGTGGATGCAAACCGCACTAGCTCGAATGAGGTTCCTCCCGTGATCTAGTCTGCATTTCTCCATCGGTGACTGCGAAAAACTCGGTCGCCCCGTTCGCTAGAGCGCCAGCGGCGCTGGCGATGTGGAACGTCATGGCGAACTGTTCTTGTGCTGATATCGGCGAGCGTGGCGTGGGCCTTCGTTCTCTTGAATGCTGTGTGGTGGTCCCGCGCGCAATAGATAAGAAACCTGCAAGATGTAGGAGTTGGACTTGCGTTTCGACTCGTCCCCGCAGCTCACGCCTCTCACCAGAAAGTCGCTGCTGGACACGGCTCCACTGGGGCCACCCAGTCCCATGCCGTAGATAGCGGCGATGAACTCTCTACGGTTGATTGTGCGCGCCTGCAGGATGAGCCCAGACGACGATCCAACGGCCCATTGATTTGACCCACGAGGACCACGCCCTAACCAACGCGTCGGAACCTGGGGACGCTGGAGCATTAGCCACCAGCGCCATTCCTCGCCCCTTGAAGGCTGCAACGCCCCGTAACGAGGCAGCCCGCGCAATGGATCGGGGCCGCTGGCCGAGCGAGCATCGCAATGGCCTCGCGTGTGCTCCTGCGCCAGGAGGCCTCAGAACCATTATGTTGGGCAGGCATGCCACTCTGCCATGGCTCTAGGGAAGAGATGTTGAGTTTCTGATCGAATCGCACCTGGAAGGGCCGGGCAATCCCAACGGGTCGGGAACCTGCTGACCTGGGTCAATCCAGACCCGGGTCAGTCAGGCCTTGCAAAATCCAGCAAGATCCTCACCCAAACCCGGGTCAATGCGAAGGATCCTGCAAGACCCTGCAGGTCCCTGCACCCAAACCCGGGTCAACGCGACCCTGGCCTCTGCAGGATCCTGCAAGATCGTGCGCTCTGGCTGACCCCCGCTTGCATTGACCCCCGTCTCTTGAGCCCCCAACGGGCATGGAAGGCGTCCTCCCGGGGGGCTCCGCGACGCCGACGGCCGGCACCTCGTGCCGCCCCAGGCTTGACATCTGCGCGCGCCAACCACAAGCGCCCACGAGCGGCGGAGCGGGCGACCGGGCAGATGGGTAAAAACCTCGTCCTCCAACACCCCGTGACATGTTTCTGGAACTGGTGAACGTCAACTCCATCTCCTCCTCCTCCTCCTCCTCCTCCTCCTCCTCCTCCGCGGCAGTCGCGTGCTTCTGCCTGCCCCCAGCCTGCGGGTGATGCGGGCGGTGAGCTCGGAGATGGCGGAGGGCCGATCGCCATCCCTTCCTAGGTGGACGAACATATGCATGCCTGAAAAGCTAAATCCACCGCCGCGGGTCTTGAATGTTCCGTTTGAAGTCAAGTAGGTAGGCCTGGACAGAAGGCATCAGGCCAAACGCTCTGCCCCATCGTGCAGGCCCCTAAAGCCATCGGAGAATCTTGGGCCATGCCCTTCCAGCTCCAGTATGGAAATGCTCTTCTTGATTGAGGATGGTGAACAGCAAATTAAGACACCCCAGAGGAATGCGGTGCCAAGTGTCCGTTCGGAGGCCCCCTTGGGGCGGTAAAGCCCGCCCTGCATGGTGCACCCAGGCATCCCAACCCTCACCAGACACCCCCATCCCAAGCGTCCCCGAAGGAGCTTCAGAGCGATCGGCGCACTCATGTGGCCCTGGTAGCCCCGGGCAAATTGGGGTTCGGCTCCTGCCCTGGCAAGCTTCCAGGCTCCTGTGACAGTCTTGGACGTCTGCTTGATCTCCCCCCATGATGCATCACCCCCGCTGGCCCTCAAGCGTCGTCGGCGTCCCTGCGTAGAGCCCGTGCCAGGGCCGCGCCCCTGGGCGCGACCTCGCAAGGGTGCCCCTTCGTCATTGCGAGCACCTGCAACGTCGTTGGCGACATGCTTATTCTTCTTATGGTTCCACACAAGAGCGAAACACATGGATGAGAACCTGCACCCCTGCGCAGGCAGTCCTTCAGGCAGGGGGGGCGAAATCTGTAGGGAACATGCTGAGGATGTGAAATAATGGGGCCTGCATCCGCGCTCTCAGGTCGCCCGCCCGCGGGCGGGAAATGACAGCGCGGAAATCTGCGCGGAGCCTCTCTCGCGCGCCGCGTGGAAGGCCGCGCGTCAGGGAACAACTCTGGCAGCGTTTCTGCAGGGCGGTCTTATCGGACACTGCGAAGCTGGAGCACCATATCGCCGACGCGAGAAGTCTCGTGCAAAGGCGCGCACTATGAGAGACAAGGCAAGTAGAGGCGCGGGGTACTTGAGACGACGCGCCAAACGACCAGACAAAAACCATTCCATCTCTACCAAACCGAACAACTTTTCAGTGCCAAGTAAGGTCCTCGCCGTGGAGGTACCTCCCGCGCACGCTATCTCAGCCGCTACCTCCGGCGGGGCAGCAGCCCGAAGAGCGTCGTCCCCCTCGGGCGCGCGGACTCGGAGTCTCGCGGCCCGCGGCCCCGGCAAGTGAGCTCAGTCCCGAAGAGCACGCAGGAGACTAGATACAGGCCAGCCGCCCGGCTCGGGGGGCGACGCCAAGAACAATCTCGCGGGCCCGCCGCGCCCACTCTAGGCGCCGCTGAAAGTTCGAAGAAAATAATGGCATTGAAGACGTCGTCTACCTACCAGTCACGATAGTCGAGCTGCCAATCCTCCATGACCAGCCGACGGACGACCCTGGCCCGGGAGGGCCCACATGAGGCGGGATGGTTCGTTGTTTTGGAGACCCATTCGGTCATCCAAGAAATGGAACTTCACGTTCGCGGCGGGGGCTGGCTGAGAGACGCCAAGATGGTGCACCCGGCAATGTTTATAACATCTTGGAATGATCTACGATTGCTCTGTTTAGCGCAGATCGCAACCTCTACTCGTTCACAAAGCCCGCCATTGGAGGCCCGCAAAATCACGGGCGCGAGTAAGCTGCACTCGCTAGAAGTTCCTTTGTGAAATGCCAGTGTGTATGATCTTCCAGGAATGCAGACGTTTTGCGTGCCAGAATCGGTTGAAGCAGCGGGCGGCCCCAGCTGCAATTTCCCTGGGCCCCTGAAGGTGCAACGAATGAACGCGTTTCGGGATCCGGGAGCGGGCTCGGTGCAGTACTTTGCGTCTCTAGCAATGTCGCGTTACATTGGGGCGCGCATCCCAGAGTCCCGCGCGCGCGCACGCGGGCCCCAACAAGCCACATTAGAGGAACCATCCCAGAGCCCAATGTAACCATGCACCGCGAGGGGATTCACCCCAGAGCCCCGCATGTGCACGCGCGCTGAGATAAGCCACGTGAAAGGATTCAGCCCAGAACCCCGCGCTTACATACAGGCTCGGAAGACCCACGTTGACGGACCACCCGAGGGCCCTGAGAGAGCGCCCAGAGGGGGCCCCAGCGGCACCTCTACCAAGGGGCCCCCCTGCAATAGGTTCCGTTCGGGGCCCTCTTGGGCCCCCATGGGGACTCGCTCAGGCCCCTCCGAGGGCACTACTGGGCCTCTGTTGGGCTTCTCCCAGGACCGGGTGGGTCAAGAGGACGGAGGGGGCGGGAGCGATCATCAAGGGCAGACAAAGGAAGCCCAGGAAAAAACAGCTGGGGCGGCCAAAAGCCTGAACCAACTCTGGAGACACAAAGTGCCCAGAGCTGGTTCGGGCTGATCGCCCAGGGGAGGGCGATGACGAGGAGCGAGGAGCACGCGCTTACGGCAACTGCTGGCCCTCCACTATGGCCCCCCCCCATCACCGCACCAACACCATCATCATCGTCATCGCAATCGTCGTCGTCGTCGTCACACTGGGGCCCTCTCCGGGTCCACTTGGGCCCCTGTCGAGGCCCTCTTGGGCCCCTTTTGGTCCCCTTGGGTTCCTGTTGTGCGGGCCCCCTCATGTGGCCCAATTGGGGGCCTCTCGAAGCGCCCGGGTGGTTGGAGGACCTGGGAACTCCGCGGCCCACCGAATTCGGCCACTCTTCTCTACGAATGCTTTGGTTTCCGCAGGAGCCCTTTCAGCGCCAGCGCGGACTGGGGGATAAGCTAAAGCGGTCAGCGAGCAATGCACAGACATCCTGGCACGCCAAGCCTGGAAGACCGCTCCAAGACGAAACGACGGTGCCAGGGTGCACCAAGCCAGAGACACCAAGCCCCCCAAACACGATAGACTGGTCCGCGGGTGCACCACGGAAGCGGGTGCACCAAGATGGCGAGGTACGCCACCCTCCAAGACTCTGAAGAGCAATGCGCAACAGGAGGATGAGAAGGACGCGGAGGGGCGGAAGCACAGGGAGGAAGCCAGGAGGGAGAGGTGGCAGGGCAGAGTATGGAAAGGAGAAGCCCCTGACGCCCTTGCCTGGGCGGCTGGCCGGGTCAGGGCGGGGCAATCCTGGCCTCGCTCTCTAGCCATCGCATTCGAGATCGATTGTTCCAGATAGGCGTCGGGCCTGGGTGGCAAGTGGGAGGAGAGGGCAAATAGGAGGGCTCAGGGAGAGAAGAGAAGTGAGGGGAGGAGGGAGGGAGGGAGGGAGGGGAGGCCTCCAACATGGCGCAATATGGCCTCCAATGTGGCAGAATACCCAACTATGGAAGCCGATCGCAGCACGCATCAACCAACAACTTGGACCCGCAGAACCCCCTTAATAGAACTGGTATGTGAACATCGGTCGTTATGAACGAGCTTCCGTCTAACACAAAAACGTGTGCGCGCTTGACTGTAACGCAAATGCGCCCGCCGCCCCTTGCGCCTTGCCGATTTGCTCCTTAACCCACGTCCTTCTTCTCCTTTTCCTCCTCTTGCTCCTCCACCGCTTCCTGCTCCTCCTTCTCCTCCTGATGCCCCTCCTCTGGCCAGTCACGGCCGCCACCCTGGGGCGCTGGGCGGGTTGGTTGAGATGCGCGGGGGGGCCTAAGTTGCGAAACAAAGAGGCACACAAACGGTCGACAAATCGCCGCCACTAGCCGCTAATCAGAAGTAAACGCGAGTCACCAAAATGTTCGGCGTCGCGGATAGTTTCCATGCAAGCATGTCAGAAACACCTATCGGGGGGGGGGGCTCTATTCAGTTGGGGGCTCTATAGGGGCCTCCATGGGGGGCTCTATAGGGGGGGCTCTCTGCGGAACCCGACCCGGGAACTCCATGCGGGCTCCATGGAAAAGCCCGGCAATATCAACGAACGGCTGCCCCCACACGCACGCGCTACAACCCGCCGGAGTTAAAAGTGGAGACCGTGGGGATCGAGGAAGACACGGTTGGCCTCCCGTTGGGCCACGGGGCCCTGGGACAATGTGGGGCCTGGGGCCGAGTCGGGAATTTCAGATGCATCTCTCACCCCTTTTGAGCATTATAACGGCCAAATGGGGTCAGCGTCTGAAAATGTGATTCCGCCAGTGACTTCCGCCGAACAATTTTTTAGATTACCTTCAAGGGCGACCTGAAAATTTGCCGCGGTATCTGGAAGTGGCGATTACGCGTGGGACTTTCGCAGAAAAAAACATATCCATCTTCATGCTGCTTGAGAGCGGCGATATCGCTTGAGATTTCCTCGCAGGGTGTTTTCCGACCGCTTTTCACACCACCAAAGAGTAGCGATTTCGTTTGGGCTGTCCTAACAACCGCGCGTCTCGTCCACCCCTGCGTCGCCGTTCCTCCGTTCGGGTCACGACTCTGTCTGGGAGTTACTTGGGACCGATCGAAGGTAAAAGCTGGATTTTTTCTCGATTGGCGAAGACCCAGGGGTTGCTCCCTGCCATAGTGCCGATCACCACTTTTTAATCCAGGGGGTGGTAGTAGCCGCTGGGGGCGAATCGGCAGAGATGAGAGCCACGCGAGACATGCCCGTCGAATGCCACTCAGCGCAACTGCGCCGAAGATCCCGCGCGCCCAGTCGCGAGGAGCACCCGCGGGGCCCATTGCACCGAACCCAGCGGGCGTTCCCGCCTGTTCCCGAACGGCGCCGCGAGAACTATTGCCCCTCGGGGCAACGGCGCCGACGGCGACGCGGGGGGGCGCGTTCCAGATCTTTGTAATGCGATCCGCCAAGGCGTCAGACAATCA